TGCTCCCAAAGTGGTAGCAGAGCCTGAGGAGAAGATTCCAGAGCAGAGGGCCATTGGGCAGCCATCTGTCCAGTAGATGCATATGAGCAGTCATCTGTAGAGTGACTACAGAGCTGCTATGGGTGACCCTGGGAAACACAGGCAGATGGCGTCTCACTGTGTGCCTTGCAGTGAGAAGATTGCTGTCGGCAGCACAATGAAGCATCATGTGCACTGCAACAGGGTGGCTGTTGCAGTTCACAAGAGGAGCCACAATGGGGCACCCATTGACAGTGAGGCCCATGAGAACATAGTGGAGCCCGGCCATGGTGGAGGGTTGTAACATGGCGACTGTTCCCAGCGCAAACTGGAACAATCACATGGCCTGCTGGAAGGCACAGTGACCGAGACCTAGTATGGTGGGGAGGCAGTGAGAATGCTGTAGGGGATAGAGAATTCTCAGGAGAAGAAGTCGGAGAATGTGAGGAAGCGCTAACAGAGGGATTAGAGCCGCTGGGAGAGTTATGGGTCCCGGGAGATGGAGGGGAAGTCGATTGCACAGCAAGAGATAACGGCGAGGAACCATTTTGTGGGTAGGGAGGCGGTGGAGGGCAGGACGGAAAAGTTTGCAGCACGGTAGAGTTAGCTAAAAGTATCTGAGCAGGAGCACAAGACTTAATGAGAGATGGGCGTATTCTCAGAATAAGAAAGGCCTGAATATAAGGGAGTTCTAATAACTTGTCGCCAGCCTGATAGAAATCATACAAATTCTTGAGAATGCAGGGGTTAAATGTTCCTTCCTTGGGTCAACGATTGCCGATAAGCGGGTAGGTTGGCCAGATCTCCTGGCAGTAAAAAGTTAATGGTTTAGTTTTTATGGTACTTTTAATTTTTAGAGTACGTAAATTGGAAATTAGGCATTGTAAAGGCATCTTTTGGGAGTTAGAAAATACGTTTCCCATGACTGATTCGGGCAAGAAATAAGCCGTGGTCCAGAACAAGCCGTCACTTGTTTGTGGCACCACACGGTGGCTAAAGTTCCAAAAACTCATATATTCCAGTTGTCACTGAGAGATTTATGAGTGGAGCCCACGTGGGGTCAGTAACAGTTTTGCCCGTGAAAGCTCGAGGCTTTAAGGGAAGTGAGGGCCTTTCAGTGTGGGCGGTCCAAAAATCTCTGCTTTGGGCCATCCAAACCCAAAGAACATGAGAGATTTTGGACACAGGTTAGCCCAGAAAGAACCCTGCCCTGGGATGTCCTAAGGACGTGAAAATGCACAGACCCACACGAACAGGGGGAACAGTCGACTGGGGCTGCCCAGTGCCAAGAGTTCCCTGGAGAGTGTTCACCTGAAATCAATCTGGCTGATGGTGGATGTAGGCAGCTGGCAACAAGGACATCTCGGGAGAGGAAAAAGCGCGGAATTAATCCAGGATGTTATCTGGCTTGTGAATTGGCTGGGGGCTCAGCTGGGTGTGTCCCAGGAGTCAATCGCCTGCCCATCGAGTCACGGTACCAAATGATAGGATTATTTCCAAAAGATGAAAAATATTTCCAAAAGATAAGAAGTATAAAACAAAAAGCGGCCTTTATTCTGAGAACACGGAGAGAGAAGACCAGCATCCCCCACCGCTGGCGACCAGCGATCTCTCCGGCGGACACGTGGCGTGGGGGGTATATAAGTAGCCTTGGTTTGGGGTAGAACCTAAGGTGGGCATTGGGGATGCACAGGTAGCCGACTGGTCCTAGGTTTCGCGCCATAGGTAAATTCCCAGGGGCGGGAAGATGGCGTCACAGGTAAATTCCTAGGGGCGGGGGAGATGGGGGCTTCCTGCTTCCGGTTGAGGCTTTCCTGGCTACAGTGTCCTGTCTGGGCCAAAACCCTTTCACCCACCACTTCCCTACCAGCCGCTGTGGAAGAGTGATGCATGCGCTGGTAAAGATGTGGCATTGTCTCCATAGCAGAGAAGGCAGGGAAGGCGACACCTAAGGGCGGCTACCCTTAGCCTAGACCTGGGTGCCCATCAGTCCCTGCCCTTGCTGGGTTTGCTTACTTGCTTGCTTTCATTGTGAAAAAAAATCTTTAAGAAGAAAAAAATAGTTCAGGAGAAATTTAAACAAGTTTTACTTAACCAAAACACTCTCTAGAGGAAATCACATTACAAAGAAAGCTTTCAGTCAAGGCTTGCCCATCCCTGCCGTGTTAGTACTATGTCTTGAGTCCCAAACCGAACTTCTAAAAGCTTAGACTTAACCTAAAAGCTTTAATTAAGTGAAAATAGAAACTAAAATGGATGAGTATAGGAAATACTCCTCTGTGAATTAGGAGTCGTCCAGGCAGGACCTCTCCTCAAAGCATTCACTATGGTCAGGGTCAAGGAACCACGGTTGGTTGATTTTTGAGGCAGGGTCTCACTCTGTAATTCAGGCTGGTCTTTTTTTATTTCAATCAGATTTTGTTGTTGTTGTTGTTGTTTTTAGTACTGCGAATCAAGCCCAGGATCTTGCTCTTGCCGGGCAGGCACTATGGCACCGAGCCATACCCCTAGCCTCTTTCAATCCGATTTTATTGGTGCATTTCATATACACATAATACTATTGATCGCATTCATCATGGAGAATTTGTACCTATAGATGATGTAAGTTGATTTTTTTCATTCCCTCACCCTCCTTCCTTCTTCCTCATTTACAAAAGCTTTGTTTTCATGTTTACTTTCTTTCTTTCTTTTTTTTTTTTTTTTCTTTTTGATACAGAGGATCAAACTCACCACCTCACACTTGCCGGGCAGGAGCTTGTGCTGCTGAGCTATCTCCCTGGCCCCCATTTTTTCCTTCTTTTCTCACTTTGACTTTTTCTCCCCTACCTTCCCCCTTGTTTTCTTCCTATTTCATAATACCAAATATACATTATGGCTTTATTTACACTTTCAGTTTCTCACACCAGGGAAACAATGTGGTATGTACTCATAGGTGTCCGATTTATTTCACTTGAGAGTTCAGGCTGATCTTGAACTCACTATCCTCAGCCTTGTAGCAATCCTCCTGTCTGAGCCTCCATGTGCTGCTCACGGGGCTGAGCAGCAAGCAGCTGCAGATGTCGCTCTCACTGGCTCTGCCTGGCAGCCCTCTGGTGTGACACAGTGGCCCATGGTACTCTGCACTGTGAACTCACCATCTCAGTGCCTGGAGTCATGAGACAGAGCTGAGGTCTCTCCTGATAGAACAAGTGGATGACAAAGTCATGGAGTCACGGAGGCCACTGTGGTCCACGGCCTCCTCTGCGTGGCACTGGACCAGTCCTGGTGTAAAGGCATCATCTGGGTCCGTGTTTCACGAAATTTGAGAATGAATTTAAGGGCAAAGGAGATAGATGGTAGGAATGTTTATTAAGCAGAGAGAAATAGCTCCCAAAAGTCAAGAGGGAACCCAAAGTGGGTTGCCAAGGGAACTCTTTGTCTAGGAGTTTAGACCAAAAATGACCAGGACTCAACCACTCTGAGTCAAACTTTAGGACTAAAGCAAGCCTACTCAGACTAGAAATGGGGCTATGAGGAGCTGAGACAGTTGGCAAGCATATGTCTGAAGGTGCCTCATCCTACCCAAGAAGTTTGAAAGGTTCTTGCCTCAGTAGAAATCATGGCAGTGGTCTAACGTGGCAGAAGGCCAAAGGGGGACCGCCTACCACTTTCCTGCTTCTTCCTCAGCCTTAATTGCAACTCCCTTCCTGTTTGCACACAAAGAAAATTCCAATCAGCTCCTTGTTATCAATGCCCTCCCTAAGCACCACCCCTGGTCAGAGGTTATATATAGATTCCTTGCCCCATGTTCCGGGAGAGAAAGCCAGGCCCTGGTGGTCATAGACTTCTCTCCATGTCCTTGGAGCAAAGGCTATTTTTACTTTATATTCTCTTTTATCGTGCCGAAAAGTCTTTCAAAGTTCATTAAAAGAACAAAGTGAGAAAGAATAAACATTTTCCAGATAGGTAGGAGCAGAAGTTGCCATAGCGGTCCTCCACCACCTTGCCTTTACCTCACTCGTCACGCCCTGCACCTAACTGTCCTTCTTGTCCCTATTAAGTCTGGACCTGAGACTCCAGGTTATCTGGCCAAGCCTTGGTCATCCTGACCCCACCGTGGGCCTGTGTCGCTGTGGCTGCCACTGTCTTCTGACTGACTTGCCTGTCCACCATTCCACGGCCCCAGCCCTGCTCCGACGAGAGCTCCAGTGCTGAGCCTGGTGTAGTCTGCCTTCCTCCCAGCTGCTCATGGACGCTGTGAGGAACCTGTGTCCTACTCTCCTTGTGCCTCCCCAGTGCCTGCTTAGCTGGCTCCTGCAAAGTAAACTGCACAGGACCTCCAAGATAATCCTGCCTTAAGGGCCCACAGGCCATGTGATCTGTTTGTCACCATCTCCAGCCCTGACACAGCTGTACTCTCTCGGTTTGTGTGTTGGAACAGAAGTCCCTGGAGCTGTTTGGCGGCTGCGCTTCAAACCCAATCTGTCTTCCTCTGTGTGACTTGAACACCTCCGGTATACCTGGTCCCCTGCTTTTCCCCTCCTCCTGGGCCAAACTGATTCACCATCGAATCAGCCTGAGGTGCTGCCCCTCTTCCAGACAGCCCTCCTAGAGCCTGCGGCACAGCACAAGCCCAGGCTGTGCTCCACACACAAGAAGGAGCACAGGCTCCGGGTGGGGTGGGCTTGTTCCTCAACTGTGTCCTTCTGTTCTAGAGAGCAGGGTGTTCAGTCTGCCCTCTCCTGTTTCATGTCTGAGAAGTAAAGCAGAGCCAGGCGTGGTGCCTGTAATTCCAACACTGTAAGAAGACAAAGCTAAGTTCCCTGAGTCCAGTCCAGGTAACTTAGCAAAATCCTGTTGAGGAATAAAAAATTAAAAGAGGCTGAGGGTGTAGCTCAGTTCAAAGGATTGGGTTCAATCCCCACTACCACACACACACACACACACACACACACACACACACATACACACACTGTTGTAGTCAGGGTTTGTGAGGAGAACAATTAGAATCAGGACATGGAATTTATTATTTTATGATGGTCACCCAGAGTTAACACACAAAAAAAAGTGCAGGAAATCTCTCCACAACACTAAAGACATAGAATATTTAGCCAAGGGCCTGAATCCCCCAGCAATGTCCTGCATGAAGACCCAGAGCTCATGACAATGCCTCTCACGAGTCCAACTAGAGCCCAAAAGAAGGACTCATGCCAGTCTCCTTTACAGATCTGTGCTGGGAAGGCCCAAAGGTCAGGGATGGAAGCTAGAAAGTCTATGCCAGGGAGGTGAAGGAGCTGTGCTGACAGGTTGAGTTTTCTATGCTGGAGCCGAGAAGTCATGCTCAAAACAAAGACCAGGGCTGTCCTGAAAAGCACCACAGCCATCCTCAGTGACACGGAGGCCCTGAGCTCCTGTGAGGAAAAGAATAGTCAAGTACATGCCAGGAAGCCAGTGTGATGAGTTTGTCCTGGTGATTAAGCAGCACACATCTTTTCTGCCGGAGCCAGGAAGTGATGCTCGCTGTGAGGACCAGCTCCCCCAAAGTGAACCACAGCCACTCTCACCAACAAGGTCCCAAGCTCCTCTGATGACAATGGTCAAACTCACACTGGGAAAGATAGTCATGATGAGCTCCTCCAGGAGAACCAACAGCTCAAATAGCCTCCCCATAGGGGAACCCACAACGCCTCAACACCTCTCCTTCTCCGGGTCTCTTATTTATCCTGGAGAAGAAGGAAAGAGGAAAAAAAGATGGATGAGGGAGAAAAATAAAAACTACTTGTGCATCATTGATTTGCAAAAGTCTAGGGGTAAAAACATAAAAACTAAATCATTTGTCCTTGGGTTAACTGAATTGGGCAAGTTCAACTCTTCCTTCAAAGAGTGAACAACTCAGTCCAACTCTACAGAAGTTCAAGAGTGACAAAAATTCCAGCTTGCCTTTGAGGTGGTCGCTGTGGGCCCAGGAAAGGGCACAGAGGCCAGGCTTCCACCTGCAGCAGGCTCTTGTGTTCGGCTCCTGGGTAGATCCATGCGCAGAACACCTGTTGGCTAGCAGCTTGGAACAATTTCTCTTTCTTTCCCTGAGGAACCTGTCTTCTGACCTGGAGGAAACTGGAGGTGAACTGCTGAGAACAACAAGCCCAGAGAGGCCAGCTATAAGGCCAGCAGCCTGCGCTACCTGTGGGAGGGCCAGGGGAGAGAATGCCTGGCATGCGTGCTTGGGGCAGGCACCGGCTTGACAGCGGTCTGCTGCCTGAGTGTGTGGGGCTCCAACTCACAATCCAGAACACTGTCTCAGAACACTCAGGCTGCTGATACTTGTGGCTCAAAAGGAAAGCAGGAGCCAGGTCCAGCTATCAGTCCAGGGCTAGCCGGAGAGCTCCAACTGCAGGAGAGCTCAAGTCTGAAGGAGGCCGGCTCCTGACTACAGCCAGTCTAGGGCAAGGAAAGAGGTTCTTCGCGTGCAGAGCAGCCAGCACTCTGGGGAAAGACCTGAGAGCGTGTGAGTCCCTCTTCTATAGCAAAAGGCACAAACGGTTTCTTAACATGGCTCTGCAAGCAGGGAAATTACACAACGTTCTCTATCGCACCTGTCAGCTGCCTTTGGGGAAGGTTATTCGGAGCTTGGAGCTCCCTGCTTAGGCACAACAGACATGCAGCAGAGCTGATATGTAGAGAAGGCAGGCTCTGCTGTCAGGCCATCTGGATTCACATCCTGATGATGTCACTTATTAGCTGTGAGACTTTAAGGAACCTGCGTGAGCCTGTTATATGGCACTAATGACAGTCCCCAAATGAGAGGCCCGTGAGAGGAACATGACTTGATACCTGTACAATACCAAACACACTGTACTATAAAGAGCCTGTGGTGGCACACACCTATAACCCCAGGACTCAGGAGGCTGAGGCCAGCCTGGCTACATAAAGAGTTCAAAGCCCACCTGAATGACATGGCGAGAACCTGTCTCAGAAAAGAAAGAAGGAAAGAAAGAGAAAAAGGAAAGGAATCAATTAAGCTTTATTCATACTCCGTTGTGGTTTGGATCTGAAATGAACACCCGAAGTTTGAGGTGTTTAGAGGTGGGCTGTTGGAAAGTGGTCCGATGGTGGCAATCCCTGCCAGGTCCCAGCGACAGGCAAGTGGTGAATGCGTCTTCCTGCTAGTTTCCTGTGCTTTTCAAAGTTGAACAACATTGCCGCAGAGAGCAGAGCTGTGACAGTCACAGCACGCCCCACTTGGGGCCCCTGGAGAAGTGCAGCTCTCCGCCTTCTTCAGTCTGAGACCAAAATAAAGTCTTGGCTCCCAACCCCCGACTTCAGTGGCTATTTCTCTCTCGATTCCATAAGCTCCCTGGCAACAAGAGATAGAGAAGATCCTGAAGGAGCCTCTGCTGCAGGGCAGGAAGGGAAGTAGAGACCCTGGAGCCGGTAGCAGGGAGCTGGGCCTCAGAGCAGGCCGCATCCGCACCACCTGAGGGACCTCTGCCACCGCTGCCCGCCTCCTGGGTGGAGCCTCCCACCGGGCACCGGGAGCAGACGCCTCCAGAGGCCTGAGGGCAGCGGGCGGTGCCCAGTTTCGAGTTTCACAGTGTGTGTGTGTGTGTGTGTGTGTGTGTGTGTGTGTGTGACCAGGAGAGGGGGGGGGGCAGGAGAGGGGGCTCCCCTTCCTTTCCTTCCCCTTCCCCCCTCCCCCTTCCCCTTTGCCTTCCTCTCCCCTCTCTTCCCTGTGAACTCTCTTAGACCTCAAAAGACCCGGAAGGAGGAACCAGAGGCTCTTGAGGTACCGTACCTGGCACCTCAGACCCAAGCGGTTCTGCTTTGTTTCCGTTCTTTCCTACTGGTATCATCTGTCTTTCTCTGTGCATGTGGAAAGCTCTCCACGCATGTTATTGCTGGAGATTTTGAAGGTGAATTTCTTGCAAAACACAACCAAAAAGCATTTGTCAACTCTGGGAAGAATTAATAATGTCTCCAGCAAGATTTTAATGATGGTTGCTGCCAGTTGCGCTTGCAGACAGGGGTGCAGTGTAAGGACAGACAGAAAGAGAGCCTTGCTTTGTTTTCTTAGATGGCTAAAGCCAAACTGGGAAATAACTCAGTGGAGTCAGATACTTAGGAATTGGGCCCAACTGTATTAAAATGAAAACTTTAAAACTAGCCAGACATAGCAGCATATACTGGTAATGCCAGCACTCAGGGGCAGAGGCAGGAGGATCACAAGTTCAAAGGCCAGCCTGGGTTACCTAGGGAGACCCTGTCTCAAAAAAAGTTAAAAATAAATGAGTATATTTGACTTTGGGAATTGTATTCACAACATATGAGTTCTGGGGACAAACATTCAAACCAAAGCAACTCTCAGGAATGCATTGATGCTGTCATTGCCGAAGCGCTTCTTCATAAATCCCAACTCGCTCATGAGTGCTCGCAAACAATCCTCTCCCCGTCCCGTGTCTTTCTCTGATGTCCTCTGCCATGTTACAACACAACAAGACCATACTGTATGTGGCCCTTCAATCTCGGTCATCCCAAGCTCCCAAAAAATAAATTTCTATTCTTTGTAAATTACCAAGTCTGTGGCCTCCTGTTACAACAATAAAAACTAAACTAATCCTATTAAATTTTAAGTTCCTCACAGATAGATGGCTGCTATCTCCTTTGTAAGCCTGGCACATCATTCATTATTTAAAGTTGCTTCAGAAGTAAAATGGTACTGTTCTTGTATAAAATACATCCCTGTAAAAAGAATCTAAACAACACAAAAAAGAGGAAAACTCCTAATATCACCCCAAAGACTGACTATTCAATAGTTTTTCTTTTTTCTTTTTTTTTTTTTGTTTGTTTATTTTATTGGCAATAGGCATTCAACCCAGGGCCTTTGCACTGAGCTTTTATTCCTGTCTCTTTATTTTGTGACCAGGTTTTTCTTATGTTTTTGGTGATGTGTTTTGTTCTGTTTTGTTTTGTTTTGTTTTTGAGACAAGGTCTCTCTCTGCAGTGCAAGCTGTCCTTGAGCTCACTTTATAGCCCAGGCTGGTCTTGAATTCACAGCGATCCTCCTGCCTCAGCCTCCCACATGCTAGGATTACAGATATGCACCACCATGCCTTGGTCTTGGCCTCCTGGTGTGCTAGGATGACAGGCAGTGTGGCACGGCTGGTCCCCAGTGAGCCCACTTGAATGCATCCTTCTTCTCCACATGCTCCATCCCTGTACAGAAATAAACAAATCCGGAACCCTCATATCATGCTCACATCTCTCTGCTTTTATTTCTGTGTTGCTATGCAGAGCCCCTGCATCCTCCAGTTAGCAATGTAATAGTCTACGGCACAGATGTTTCACAAGATCAGTGGTCTAGTAATAGGCATTTATCCCCCTCTGAGTGAACTTTTAGGTTATAAGATGCATGAGCTTCTGAATAAAGTTGTGGTTGTGCTAATTTTATCAACATGGAGAATGCAATGGGCATAATGGCGCACAACTGTAATCCCAGTACTCAGGAGGCTGAGGCAGGAAGATCACCACAAGTTCAAGGCCATCCTGGGCTATATAGTGAGTTCAAAACTGGGCTGAACTACATAGTGAAACCCTGTCTCAAAAAAAAAAAAAAAGTACTAAGGGAGTGGTAGGATCTGTATTCATTAGTTCACTATCGTGAACAATTAACTTAAAGTCAACACATTCTAATAATATTTTATTTTTGATGCTGACTTTTGGCTTTTGGTATTTATTTCTTTGTGTCAGTTTATTAGTACCTGTGTGCAATATGTGATGCTCACTCCTCATGGGGAGTTGGTGCGCACGCTAAGACATCTTCATTCTTTCTCTCCTCCCTGTCCCTTCCCTCCCTCCTCCTACCCACCCTTTTCTGTCCGTGTGAGTACGTGTTCATGCTCCTCATGTGGACAGAACACAGCCCACTTCCCTTTCCCCTCCCTTAACCCTTCCCTTCCCCATCTCTTGAGCCCCTTCCTCTTTGGGAAAATCGATCCCCCTACCTCCTATTTTCTATCTTTTATTTTGCTCTTTATTAGTATCCTTGGTTTCTCAAAATATAGGAGAAACCGTGTGACAGTTGGGCTTGTGTGTCTGTTTTATTTCACTTAATGGTCTCAAGGCTTGTGCTCTTTCCTACAGGTGACTCAAGTATCTCCCTTTACATGATATTATTTTAGATACACAGTAGAAAGATAATTTACTAGAAAACACAGCATGAAGATGTCACCATTGCCAGGCAGAGTGGCGCATGCCTGTAATCCCAGCACTTGGGAGGCTGAGGCAGGAGGATTACAGAGAGTTTGAGGCCAACCTGGGGTACATAGGGAGTTCAGGGGCAGCTTGACCCATATAACAAGACCCTGTCTCAAAAAAAGAAAAGAAAAGGCCAGCATTGTCCACTCTAAGCTTGTCTATGTCACCAAAGTCATCTAGGGTGGACACTCTTCCTCATGATTCTGTAAAAAATGATAGCACAAGGGCTCACCAAGCTATGTCCTCCTTAAATGTAACAGTATCAACTTCAATCAAATATAAAGTTCTCAACTTGGATAGACAAAATTAAATTATAAGTACAATGTCTGGCTCTGAGTAAGTATTCAAAAAACAGCAAGTTACTGTTTTCCCGTAGGCACTCATGAACAGTGTGACTTTAAAGGTAAACACACACAAAACAGCTGAACAACACCAAACCCACCAAGTATCAAGAAGATAACTACAACAGTAGAG